GATGTACATATAAACCAGGATCTGAATTAATGCGAGCTCTGAGCATGTGTTCGCAGAATTTGATAGAAGGAGTGACGGCTGTTTTCATTCCCGCCTGGCATAGAAACAGAAATCCATTTCGGCTTTTGATGCATGACAGAAAATTGGAGAAAATTACTCTGAAAACAAGATTGGTTTTGGCTGCGGCGCACTCCTAAGTAGCACACGCGAGTAAAGAAGTCACACACGCGTGCAGACACAAACGTGCCCGTTCCTTACTGCGAGCACACACATTTTTTTTTGCGTTTTTTTTGCACACACACACACCCTGTAACTCCTGTTCGTACCGCTCACACGTTTTCTCCGGCTGCGAGCGCCTCCGCAATCTCAAAAACAAGAACGGAGTGCTGAAAAGCTGGCAGCTCTCTGTGTTTCTTTCTTCCTTTCTTTCTTCTTCTTCTCCTTTTTTTTTTCGTTAAATACATTTTAATTTACCAATCTGAGCTGTGAATCCAGCCATCTGCTGCGATTGGCCGTGAGCCGTCGAGTTTGGTCGTCTGGGTGAAGGTTATCTCTGTGTGGAACTTTGAATCATTCACCACAACAGTGTCAGACAAGAGGGATCTTTTTTTTATTTTTTATGGTGTCTTATTCGTGTCTGTCTCTTTGTAAAGAAAATGTGTGCGCGTGCGTGTATGTGTGTGTTTCCCATGAGGCTGTATATACACCCAGTCTGTATATACGACACATAGATCACACATTGACCACCTCCTTTAAGGTTTAACAAGTTCATAAGTCGCAGGAGAGGCTATCTTTGGTGTGAATACGTTTAGATTTGGTGACTGTTTGCTTCACACTGACTCCTCATACAGCACTCACGCTTACATGGACACAGGTGAAAAGGTGAAAAGGTTTAATTCTGCCCATGGAGGGTGTTTTATGGTTTCTGCTTCCGTACCATAAGGCCCCAGATGCAAATGTCCGAGAGGAGGGCTAACAATGAAAGAGTGCAGCCTGCAGGAGTCCTCAAAGACGGAGTGACAACTGAGTGGATAACGTGTCAAGTTTGGATCATTTTGAATCATGACTGGATTCCAAATCACATGATTTATCTTCCCCCTCCATCACTTTAAAGTGTAAACAGCTTATTTCTATTACTTAGCTTACAGGTTTACTGTTTTCAGTGGATTTTTATTGTATGGCCTATTTTAAAATAGACTTCCCACCTGTGTTTGAAGCTTAAATTAGGGAAGTTACTCTTTTTTCAAATGTTTAAATAGATATATGAGAATCTATTGGTTTCTCTGAAACCCAGTTTAATATTTCTCTCTTTTTTTTTTAAATAAGCTGTTTATCTCCACAAAAGCTTAGAGTAAACCGGCTTCATCTTTGCTGCAATCAGCAACTCTGTAGCTAGCAGAGTACACCGCATCATACAAAACTGGAACCAGAGGAAATGTCGTCCTTAAAAGTACAATGGAGGACCGACTACAGTCATGTCAACATAGAGGCCGTTATTCACTTGTTAAACTTTTAATCGTACAAATAAAATCAAACAGCGCAACGGAGGAAATCCAGTTCCATTAAACATGGCAGGAAGCCCATAGAAATGTGCTTTTATTAAAGAGTTCTTTTTTTTTCTGCCCTCGGAGCAGCTCTGAATCGGAAGAAACTCAACAAACCCAAAAAAACCCCTCTGACATCTGCTTTTAGTGATTTCCACCCATCGGGGACTTATTAGTCAAATCAGCCGCCGCAGTGTTTACCTTCACACTCTACAGATTCTTCACTTTTTGTAAAGATTTCCCAATTGTCAGAGGAAAAAGGCAGTAAAGGAAATTTCTCGGGGGCCCGTGTGAAAAAAAGGAAAAGCCTCGCTCCTGTTCGCGTCCGGACAACAGGCCCGCCGATCCGTCCACTGGTCCGCTGCCCCCCCCACCCCCCGGCCCGGCTCCCGAGGTTTGACCCCACCCTCTCTGGCTCCTTTCTCCAGGTATGAGTGCTCTGCAGTTGCAGAACCTGGCCACTTTAGCGGCAGCGGCGGCGGCGGCCCAAAACTCAGCCAGCCCCTCCACTGCAAACCCCCTGTCCTCCAACGCCGCCTCCCTGGGAGCGTTGGCCAGCCCAGGTAACGCCGCAGCCATTCTGGTTGTGGGGGGATGGGGGTGGGGGTGGTGGGGGGGTATGACGTCTCGTGGGGAGCCCGCCTCCGCTCTCCACCGTCCACCATTCGCCAGTCTTGTCGCCACACCATGATCCAAAAAAACAACAACCCATCCACCGCTCAACGTTTCGCCGAAACATCTTCATTGTTCCGACCAACTTTCGCCCGTGTTGTCGAACTCCACCCATCCACACCCCTTCACACCCCCCCATGGGGCGTGTGCATCCATCATCTCACCCCCTCCCATCATCTCCACAGTGACACCGTGTTGTTGTCAGTGCCTCCATCCTGTCTTTGAACGCCTCACGCCCTCACGGTGTGGGGGGCCCCCCAACGTCAGCCCGTAAGACACGCGCTTGTTTTTTGTGTGTGTGTGTGTGTATGTGTGTGTGAGCGCATGTACGTGCGTTTTTTGTGCTTAAGTGTTTCCGTCAGGTTTTTCCGGCGTGCCAACTCTTGCGTTTTTCAGTTGGCTTCCGTGTTTGTGGCCGTGTAGATCCGAGGGGGCCGGTTAGGGATCGTCTGCCCTGTATGTGTGTGTGTGTGTGTGTGTGTGTGTATTTGTTTTCATGATATATCAGGACAATTTTGTGAATCCACACCTTCAATATCAGGACGCGTAGAAATATGAGGACACTTTTCATGTCCTCATTTTTCTGAGCATACTAGAGTGTTCTCGAAGCTCCAAAATACTTCTAAACCAAATATCTCTATTGTCCTAAGAACATTTGGAAAGCCACCTAAACATTTGTCCTATTTCTGTCATGTGTCCTTGTATATAATGAAAACACGTATGTGTGTGTGTGTGTTTGTGTGTGTGTCGGTGCTGTCTGTTCCTCGCATAGGTGTGGGTTTAGAAAAGCCTACAAGGTCTGAGCCTGGTTTGGGTTAAGTATCACCACCTTTAGATTTCCCCCATCTACCTTTCTTCTTCTTCTTCTTCTTTTCTTCTTCTTCACACGTCTCTATCCCGTCTCCCTCACCGTGTTTCTCCTCGTTGCCCCCGTCTCCTGCTGCTGCCCTCCTTTTGACAAGCTCCCTGTTTCTGCTCCATCATTCTCCCCCCCCCTCTCACGTCAACTCGGCCCCACCCCCACCAGACCTTAATATGAAAAAAAAAAAAAAAACCCTTCCTCCACTCTGCCACCTCCTTAATGCTCACGCTGCTTCCATCCCCACCTCGAATGCCCGTACTTGTCTTGTCCCCCCCCCCCTCCCTCCCTCCATCCATCCCGCCATACTTTTCTTCCTCCCATCCCTGAGCCCGACCTCGAGTAGTGCGCACCCAGACTGAGCCACTCGGTGTGAATGAAAGGCGCCATACTGCATGTGCCAGCGAGAAAAAAACGGAAAACGTCACGCCGGTTTTTGATAAATATAGACAGTTCTGCATGGAGACAGGACAGCGTCTTTGTTTCTAGCACCACGCGCTGACATAATGCGCTCCCTTTGCCACACCGCCGTCTTTTGACACGTCGGGCGGCAGTCCCGCTTTGTTGACGGGCTGAAGGGTAAATGAATAGGTTCAATCTTTGTCTTTGTTTTTTTTGTTGTTTTTTCTGTTTTAGTTTTTTGTCTGAGCAGGAGCGATATTGCAGGCTTTGTGCTTCATATAGCCCAACCATCTCACCCACCACTCACATAACAATTGTGTATGGCACAGGTTTCACATCAGTGTGTTCAGATGTATGTGTGTGTGTGTGTGTCTGTGTGTGTGAGTTTGTGTCCACTGTGTTGAATTCACTTGTCACCGGCTGGTTGCCGTAACCAGAAAAAATTCCAAATGTTTCTCTAAGAGTTCATCTAGACTTTGTGCTATTGATTCTCTGTTTTGTTTTGGGGGGTTTTTCTGGGGGCGGGGGTTTAGCGGATCCTTATAAGGAACAAAAAAGAGTTGTTTCTCGTAAGACTCCGTGCTAAATTCGGCTCTTTATCTTCACATGATTGAGCACAAGGAGTTGTAAGGTGGAGGTCTCACAGCTTGTTGATTCAAAGTTGATCAAAGTTGCTACCTGTAACGTTTTAAAGCATCAGCGTGCCATGAAATCAACTGAGAGGCACCGGTAGATCACATTACCCTTGAACTTTGGGTCCCTATTGTCAGGAGATTGTTCAGCTCATTTATTTGCTCTGCCTCAGTCCAGGGGGCGTAAATATTCTAAAAGCTTTATTTGTGTTTGCATTAGAAGAACAGTGTCCTGTTGTTCTCAAAATCTTGACTCATCAGGCAAATGTCGCAAACAGTTTTAAAAAAACAGATCAGGGGTATTTTATTCATCCTTAACAGGAGAACTTATGTAGATTTTTCCCAAAGGCTTCACCGAGAAATAAGAAGCCGCTTGACATGTTAAGTCATTTTATGCACAATGCAACAGTTGTGGTGGTTTGGCTACGCTTGTTGCTAAAAACCATTGATCAGAATGTCAGCTGACAAAGGCAAATGGGTATAATTGTTCCCCACCCGCTGAGATAAGACTGGATTGCTGTGTCGCTTTGTTTCATGTAAAAAACACCAAATTTTCACAGTCATTTTATCAGTTAGATTCATCCAGGTACAGATTTAAATCCCCACGAGTGTACTTACAGGTCCAAACTCTTCCGATAATCAATTCAAGCTCTGCTCTCCATCTCTCTGCTTCGTGCGAAAATAGGTGCATAAAAGCCTTAAAAAAAAGAAATCCTTGAATTTCTTCATTGTATCAAAGCGAGGAGCCAGTGCTCAACAGTGGGGCCAGTTGTCTACAGCTCCAGTATTGTGTGTATTGCTCTTTCCAGATGCTGGATTTCTACATGTAGCACCTCATTACATCATGTTGCCTGAGAGGCTCCACCTCAGCACAAGTTTTTTTTCAATCACATGTCCTGTTCCCTTGACACCTCGAGCCTCACCCGTTTTCTCTTTTTTTTCTCTCTTCCGCCCTCCCTCCCCAAACCCTCCCACCCCACACCCCCGCCTTCCTCCCCAGCAGGGACCACAGCCAGTTCCAATGCCGGCGCCATGAACTCGCTGACCTCTCTGGGCACCCTGCAGGGCCTGGCGGGCGCAACCGTGGGCCTGAACAACATTAACGCACTAGCAGGTAGCGTCAACAGTGAGTATTCACCCTGCCATCAGCCACACCACCTCCATCTCCACCTCCGAGCGTCCACGCCCGACAGCATCCTCATCGCCACACCCCGTGAGTCAGAGCAGAGAGAGACGCTCTCACAAGCTACCGGACAAGGCGCTTTACCTTTTTTACTTCTATCTTTCTTAATGAAACCATTAACGATTCTATTTTATCTTTTTAATGTGGCAAATGTAATGTCTTATTTTTTTAACTGAAACCAAATTGTCTTAGAAGAATGTGTCAAAAAAAAGAAAAAGATTCTACAAAATGAGATTCCAAAAAAAATACCACTCGTTTGCACATTCGGCTGTTAGTGGGCGTAAAAACGACACTCAGATTTTTTTTTAAAAGGACAAAGGTTCACAGTGTTTGGTTCCTCCTGCGTCTCTCTGCGTCTCAGTTCTTTACTTGTAAACTTCCTCGGTGACAGCGACTTCATGGATCCATCTGGACACAGACATTTCATGCACTCATCCATCCCTCATTTCATTTCTCCATCCGCTTCCTGGTTGCGTTCAGGGTTGTGCTTAAACGTAAACGTGGCGTTGTGTGTGTGTGTCTCGTCCCCTCCCGCAACCGTCAACGTGTGGGAGCGTGTTGTAGTTGTTTCCCGTTACATGGTGTGTTGTCGCTGTTTTTTGTTTGTTACATAATCTGTAAATGGTCAAAAGTGGAAAAAGTAGGATTTATATTTTTGACAGTAATGCTGCTCATTCAGACGCTTTAAATTCTATCAAATATAACCATTTTATCTTTCTCATTAAAAAAATCAATTTCCAGGTTGATAAATACAAACTCATTCAACTCTCTGCCAAAAATGCTAAGGTTAACAGTGTCCTCCACACTCATTTTAAAGATTAAATGTAGCCACTTCTGATTCAACAAATCACAAGATTTAATTAAGAAAATTCAAACTTGAATGTTTTTTTCATTAAAAATAAAGGAGGATGCTGTATTATTGGTTGGCAGTACACAAGATGAGGCAAAAAGCATCTAAAAATATTGGCATGAAAAGATTTCAATGTTCAAATTCATGACAAAATCATTCTCATACAACGTTTAAATGATCTGGAAATGCTTTATGGACAAATTCGAGGGAGATTTATGAGAAAAAACTTGTTTAGGCGCAAATTTTTCAGGAGACTCCTACGTTTCGCAGAAGTTTCTGTCCACAGTGTATCGACCGTCTCCGTCTGTGTGGTCCGCCGACGCGTATCGAGCTGTGTGGCGTGGCCCGCCTCTGACCTGCGAGCAGAAAAGGGCCGGGATCTTAATCAGAGCTGTTATGACAGCGCGGATCCTGTACTGCCGGCCCCCATCCGCCACATTATTCTCCTCTGACCTTTTTACCGCTCCTCGGCCGGAGCGGTTGTATCCGCTGTGTAAATCATCCGCCCGTTGCGCGTGTGGTCAACCCCCTTTCAAACCGAAACGGGTCCCTTTCATTTCGCATCCCATTTTCGTCCACGCTTACCCCCTCGTGCCCCCCTTCCTCATCCTTCCGCCCACCAACCGCCCTCATTTAAACACATCTAGGCCTTAATTGAATTGCAAAGGTCACCCGGTGCAATTATTCCTGAATTAAATGAGTGACCTATAATCCGGAGTGGTGCGGTGATAATTTATTTCACTGTGTCTGACGGCGAGGCGACAGGACGCCGAGCCAATGTCAGACCCCCTCAGACAAGTTGCCCTCCGCCGCGATATTAAGCCATTACAAGCAGCTAATGAGTGTTACCGCTGTGTTCCTTCAGTTTTTCAACCCGCCAATCCCCCGCTCCCTCCACGTTCCCTCCAGCCGGCCTTCACCCCCTAAAGAGAGACGTCACAAGCCGGGAAAAGCTGATAATACCGCAGCCCGCTCTCTCTATTCCGTCCTGAATGTCTGCAGCCTCATAAAAAGGTCAAATTTCTTAGATATTAGCATCCTCGTGTTTCGGAAGCAAATTTTGGCTGTAAGATAATTTGATGCGGCGATAAGGTGTCTTAAAATAAGTCGGGGCTTTTTGACGGCAATTACGACTGAGAAATTCTTGAACCGAGATGAAAAAGACTCATTTTCAAGCAATCCAGTTAAGGCTAATGGAAGAAGAGACTCTTATCTACTTGAAAATAGATAAAAGATGCAAATACTTTGTTACTAGATACTTCAAACACTTGATAATCAGCTGATAGTATTGAAAAAAAACTGTGCCAGCTAGCAAGAAAATGGTTTGTACTTACAGTACAAGGTTTGTGTTGATTTGGAAGATCTTTTACATCAACACTAGCTGGATCTATTTTAAGAATAGATCTACATGCGCAGATTATTTACAATCCTTTTCTTTTCTTTTTTTGGCTGAGAAAATTCAGCAAAACAAAAAAAACATCAAACCTTTGCTATTACAGAATGCAAATTTGGTCTATGTTAAACAGATAAACACACGTTTACATGCAGTGCTCCATTTGTTCATTTTAGGAACCATTTTCCCACAGCTTTACTTTTACTCTATTATTGTATGTACTTATTCATTTAAAATGTTTTTCCATATTTACTCTTTATACAGGCATATTTATTTCACAACTATATGTGTATTTGATATATATTACAACGCTTTGAATTGTTTCATGAGATCCGGCATATTGAAAGAGACAACTGTACAATTGTGTATTTATACCCTTAAAATGATCAATCAGTCCAGTCATCTACTGGTAACCAGGTCTTTAACAATAAGCCCAAAGATCCTACACCTCTTTGTAACATAAACGTTCTTATAAATGTGGAAGTATTAGAACTAGTGGATCAGATTTTGATCTGCTTATAAGGTCTATTTCCTTTCTTTCTTTCCTATTACCGCCGGATTTTAAACGTTTTTAGCTCGACAAACACACAGACGTTAAAGCGTCTAAGTTCTAAGTCTACGTTCATTGTATTCATCATTTGCGTCACCAAAGTCGGGCCCGAAACGAAAAAAAAAAAGCGTGTGACACACGACCACCGTAATTGTCTCCTGTGTTTGTTTTTGTGTGTCTGCGCATGCAATGCGGCTGCGCTTTTTGACTCTAGGACACCCGCGCAAGCTCCTGCTATCATCAGCTACCCCCATATTATAACCCCCTGTGTGTAAAGAAATAATCTGTACGTCCCGTGCTCTGGCGTGTGTTGTTCATGTCCTTGTTGTGGAAGTTTGTGCGTCTGTGTGTTGGTTAAAACACAACCCCTTGGGTGGGAGCGCTAATGAGTAAGTGCGTTCTTCTTCTTTTTATTGTTGGGTTTTATGTAAAGTTGCTCAAATGCTCTCAGGTATGGCGGCCCTGAACGGAGGCCTGGGCGGGGCGGGGCTGACCAACGGCACGGCCGGCACCATGGACGCGCTGACGCAGGCCTACTCAGGGATCCAGCAGTACGCCGCCGCAGCGCTGCCCACCCTCTACAGCCAGTCCCTGCTGCAGCAGCAAGGGGCCGCCGGCAGCCAGAAAGAGGGTCAGTAAAATTGGGGAGGGTGGATCAGGTACTGCTTTGGTGGGAGCCGCCCTTTTCAGAGTGTTTACAGTCCTCTGCGGAACGGCAAGTGGACAGCATGGACAACTTAGCGTCACAGTTTGAGTGGAGCTCTGCATTAACTCATTGGCTGCCAGCCATTTTCAGAACAGAGAGTCCCATACTGCCCGAGTTTTTTTAGCATTTTGACTGATTTTTCAAGAGCCACAGAATAGTTTGTGCTATGACTATGTAAACACCGAACACACCAAAAGAAAGAGTAGACTCTCTTCTTTCATCAGGAAAAAAAAATTGGTTTCTACCTTATTCCGTTCTTCCTCGACTTGTGTCTCACTGCGCCATTTCTCGCATAGCGAACCATTACGTTTTTCTTATTTGCCTACAATCTATGCTCATCTCACATCAAAAGTGGCACTGCCACCTAAAGGGTCAATTTGTTAGTACATACTCTGTCTAGAAGCCTGATATTTACGGACAAGCTTTAGCAGATCGTCCCCCAGTCACTCGCGTTAAAAAACATAAAAGATGTCTATAGACGTCTTTGGCAGTCAACGGTTGTATTTTAATTGACGTCTATAGACGTCTTTGGCAGCCAATGAGTTATCACAGATCAAACTTCAATTCTAAATAAGCTTAGTAAGTTCATTTTATAACAGAAAGCTATGAATGCGGATATGTCAGAACCATAGATGATTTTTCTTATTCAACGTACCACAGAAAGATGGTACCAAGACACTTTTTTTCTCTAATTTTTGTTTTTTTTTACCCCAAACACGCGTTCAGTGTGTCCAGAAGGAAGTTCTCTGTAGAACAGCAAGTGGACAGCATGAGACATAGAAACTGAGAGCTGAAACTTAGCATCGCAGCTTGAGTGGAGCTCTGCATTAATATGACATCTAGATCAAACTTTAATTCTAAATTAGCTTAGTAAGTCCATTTTAGAACAGAAAGCTATGGAGGCGGATATGTCGACAACCGTAGACAGGTTGTGTTTTGTTTTTTTCACGTCTTTTTTGGCCCTTAAGGGACCCACCCAACTTGTCTTCACCCTTCTCTTCTGCAGCATGTGCCTATGTTGAGGTCGGGGTACTAAATAATCTTGGAGTCAACAAGTAAACGTGTAAAAGGTCAAACTTTTTAGTCACTGTCCACTACAGAAACCCTGTGCCTTCTTGTGGGTCAAAGGAAGACCTAAATATGTACTCTCAAACAGTGTTTGTAATGATAAAAAAATCAGTTGGATTTGATATTAAAATGAAAGATTAGGCAAAATCAATCAGTTTCAGACATTTTCCTGCCATGAAGTTAATGTAGACAATGCAAAACTTACCAAATGTTGTAATTACATCAGTGTCATGATATTTCATGCTTTAAAATCATATGGTACCAAACATAGAAATATACCAGTAAGACATTATAATTTCCTTAGAAATTATAGTGGAACTTCTTTATTAAAGTTATGACATGAAATACTGTGGACAAACTATCTATCATGGCTGGTACTTACGTTTTATTCAAAAGTGAATACAAGCTAGCTTGAATGACCATTTAGTTGGCGTTTTTTTTGTTTACTGCATGTCGAGGGTGCTGCAAACGCCACCTACACATAAAGCATTGCGGCTGCGGTTAAATTTACTCAAAAGCCTCAGACGACAGCGCTGAATACAAATCGGATGATGAAATATCTCGTAAAACAAACAACAAAAGCTCCACACACTGTTTGTTTTGCGCTCCTCTCATCTCCGCTTCTAGGATAGGTACATTTGTAAAGGAGCTGTCTCTTTTTTTTGACAGTCCGTCCTGGAGTTCAAAACAAACCGGGGGGGGAAACAAAGACGTCCCCAAACGTGGTGCTTTCCACGTTTATCTGCGGGTTTGTATTAAATGAGCCTGAGACATCCGACCTCCTGTTATTATTGGTTAGTTGTGAGCGGGAGAGGGGTGGAGACGCGACCCCTGACCTCTCTTAAGAGCAGCAGCATGCTGCTAAAGAACTGATAAATAAAGAGCAACAGAAAGAGGGGCGTTCTTTTGTTTTGCGGCCGGGGCGAAATATGATTATTAAATAAACGAGAACCGAAAGCTTTCATCCCAGCTGAATTTCCACGTTGTTTAAAAAGCAGCGGTAAACCCAAGGTCTCGGGACATTGTGCTAAGCGCCGCGCTTGAGCTCCGTTCCTATGGCGACAGCACAGCGGTGCCCGTGCACACAATGCGCGCCCTTCCTCTCCTGCGGCGTTCCCTAAACGCAACCCGCTCTGACCTTTTTTTTTTTTTTTTTTTTCGTCCCGCCAGGTCCGGAAGGCGCCAACCTCTTCATCTACCACCTGCCCCAGGAGTTCGGAGACCAGGACATTCTGCAGATGTTCATGCCTTTCGGAAACGTGGTCTCCGCCAAAGTCTTCATCGACAAACAGACAAACCTTAGCAAGTGCTTCGGTAGGACAGCAGAGCGGGCGGCGGTGTGAGCAAAGACAGCTGCTTATTTTCGCTCCTGCTTTGTTTAAATTCTTCTTTTCGACCACATCAAACGGATAATAGATCCAATCTAGACACTCCATCAGAGTCAAAGTTTTATTACCAGTGAAACGTATTATCGTCTTTACTTCATTGGACTGAATAAATCAAACCACTCAATGATTTACTGCCCCATTTTCCTTCATCCCGATTTTTAACTGCCCCATTTTTTTTACTCTAGATGCTTTCTTATAAAATGTGTTTTATTGATTAATTGTTTCCCTAGTAGTCACTAAGCTGTCGCTCCAATTCAGACTCGTCTCACATTTTTAGAAACATGCAGCTCAACTACAAGCATTTTTTTTTTCATACATGCCCAGAAATGAATAAATGCATCAAAGCTAAATGAATCAACTTTAAAGGAATTTATTTTACTTGCAGGAAGAACTTTTCTCTAGTGATTGGCGATTCTGTCAAATGAATATTTCATTGTAAACCTAGAAAACATTTTTTGTGTACATACCAAAGATAAGAGGCACTCCATGAAGGCCAGTCTGAGTTGGAATCGTTGTTGTTGCAAAATGTATGTGTTGTCGAAATACCCAGTTTTAACTCAATGCGGCTCAAAACTGGAAAATCAATTAAATTGTCTTACAAAATGCACCAATTGAGATAATCTATCATAATTTAACCATTATGACTTACAAAAATAACCAATAGAAAAAAAATAATAATAATAATTATTCAAGTTAAATATCTTAATATCTTAAATATCTTAAGTGACACTGCTTGTTCCAGGTAACTGACATTGTCATCCTCGTATATAACTAAAGATTGCAATTCTGTGCCAGGACCCATAAATGGTGGTCTATGAAAGGAAGAAAAAAACATAACATACAAACTAATGAAAAATATTTTTGCCATGGTAGCAACTAAATGCAGAACTATTGTGAATATTACAAGGACAACGTGACACATACACAAATATGGCTTTTTGTGAGATGGTGAAAAATACAAAAACACAGTAACATTTATTTGAAGTATTGATCATTAATGGCTTAAAAATTGATGTGTGATACTTTTGAGAGCATGACCTACATTTGCTGGGCTTTAAGTTGCACATTACATGGTAGAAGTTTCACAAAACATCTCCATAATCCACTGTCTATATTCCATTCCCTGCATTAATCTTTTGACTCCTTTTTTTTTTTTTGGCTGGAACAAACCAGTTCCCTCCAGGAGTCATTAAGATTCAATCGTTCCTTCATTGTGTACCAGGAGTGCATTTTAATGAAAATGTGAAATAATCCAAATAAATGAAAGCTTGCGGCAAAAAAATAATATAGGAGAGCCTAATGCAGGATTTACTGTGATGCCTATATTTTTTGAACAGGGTGGCTTGTTTAAGTATGATAACACTAGCTAAAACTTGATGTTGCTCTGCTTTTTATCTAACTGTAAGACATTTCTTTATGCAGATGTTACTTTTTTTTCTTAAATCATTCTGTCAAATTCAGATATTTCTGTTTGAAAATTTAACCCCACATATAATACACACGCTACTATAATACGTACGCCTAACTTTGTCCCTTCCCTCTTCAGAAGTCCTTCTTCCCATGTTTAATACGCTTTGACATTTTAAGCTCATTAGAAATCATAAAAAAGGACAAAAAAAGCTGAAGTGCCTCTTAATGCATCGATGCAACCTTTTACCTCAAATATGTTGTAATGTTGTCATAAATGCTATAATGGCGGCCATAAAATTGCAACCGCAATTCAAACTTGGGGTTTATTCAGATTGTTAATGGTATTTATAAGATGAAATTGTCAAACTACATGTAGAAGTACCTAGAAGGAATAACCAGTGGTACGACAATGTTTTGTTATATAATAAATGTAAGAAACTACCAACAAACTATCAACAAACAAATGTTGATGAGCAGTTGATGACAGAATCTCCCATCTTAGCCTTGGCCTTGCCAAAAAATATTATTTTGCTCTGTAGCCATCTATAATATCCACCCATATTTTTGGTTTATTTTTTAGGCATATTTTGTATATTATATACAAGAAATTACGATAGTTCATTGGCTAACTGGGTAGTAAAAAAGTTTGATGCTAAGGACTAATTACATTTCTTTAGTAAGCTAGCAATTGCTTTGGCTCCTTAAATAATACTGCTGTTTTCCTGTAGTGAAATCAACGTTGAAGAGATCTCAACAAACATAAATATTTAACTCAGAGGGAAATCTTTACAGATTTTTCAATTCTGTCAAAGCTTATGGCATGGAAACATGGCTAAAATTTCCTGCCGAGCTAACTAGCGCATTAGGCACCAGAGATGTACTACTTTGTTCTATTATTTATTTTCCAGTTATGAGAGCTTTAAAAAAAAATCCTCAAAATCCGGAAGAGTTGCACAGTTTCATTAGTTAATTTTTCATATTTTAACCATATTTGGACATTGCATTCAACAACAAAATGCCATCCAGCTCGATAGCTCGATAGCTGTCCTTCTTAAACTGCATTTAGTAACCAGGAACAGCCTTAAAAGTTACGCTTTCTTTTTCAGACAGTTTATATTTAATCGAATTCCACTTCACAGATAATTCATCTCATAATCACGTACAAAAACTACTGCAAAAACAAACTTTTCAGCACTTTAACCAAATCAACTAAATTAGCTAGACTCAACATGTTGCTAATGTCAACAACCCCTGAGTCCCTCAGACAAACATGGCAAAAAATGACGTTGAACCACTAGTATTTTTTTTGACCGGCCTTCATTGGGCTGTGTGAGGATCGAAGATATAGACATTTAATTAATATGATGTAGCAGAGTTCCTTTAGTCATGCACAATCTATATTAATATTCGTAATTTATGCAGTAGTACCAGTGATAAAAACTTCATTAGGAATTTTACATCTTTTGTATTTGTATATGTAGCTCCTAATCCCTTGGTAATTTTCCCTGATGACAACACATCCCAAACATTGCCCAAAACAGCTCACGATGGAGGAAAGAGGCAGCTTAAAATTCATAGACCATAGCGGTCAAGCCACTGGTCACTCACTTATTTTATAAGGCAAATCAAGGCGAATCGAGATCTTAAACTGACTACAATTTTCAAACAGAGATTCATATTCATCTTCTCCAGCATGTGAAATTGATCAGTCTTTCTCTGTCTGTTTTCTCTGTGGTTACATTTCAGGCTTCGTCAGCTACGACAATCCAGTGTCGGCACAGGCGGCCATCCAAGCAATGAACGGCTTCCAGATCGGTATGAAGCGGCTGAAGGTCCAACTGAAGCGCTCCAAGAACGACAGCAAACCATACTGATCTTAGTACTAGGGTCTATCTGCTCCCCCCTGTTAGCACTGCTAGGGTAAGTCTCCCTCCCCCCACAAAAAAAATAACAAAACTGATGAAAAAAAGAACAAAAAAAAACAAACAAACAGCAAACCGAGCCACGATCTCTTTACACAGGGACTGGGGGGAAACGAGGGTGGGATTGGAGGGGATCTGGGATGGGATGGGGAGATGACCTACCACCACCCTGAGGGAGACACACACTTTGCTTTTGTTTCGTTTTTCTTGTTTTTTCTTGCTTTTTGGAGACTTACGTTAGCTTTCAAGTATTTTTTATTTATTACGGTTTATTTTTGACACACATGAACGCTTCCATTACCATCATTACTTTGTGCAATGTTATTATTTTTTTATAATGGAAGGAAGTAGCTGTCTTGGGTTTAGTTTTTTCTCTTTTTTTTTTTACAAAGTTTGTTGAAGAGTTATTTAATTTTTCCTTTCACACTGATTATTTATACATTTTTGAGGACTAGTTACAAGTCAGAACCGAGATAAAGACAAAGGAGCCATGATGAGCTTTTTGAAAAAAATTTCTCTTCTCTTTTTCTTCTTTTGAACTTTGAGGCCTGGCGAAGGTTTCTTTTCCTTTTCCTTTTTCTTTTTTTGACGCGCATGCCGATATGCACATTCGTCCTTTGATCTCCACGGTGTTGGGTGCAGGTCACCGCTGCTTCTCCAAAACCCCTCAATGCCTGCTGGCAACCCGGGAGCAAAGGCTGCAAAATGTTAGTGGCCTCTTTACAGTACAAAAAAAAAAATCAGCCTGACGCACAGGTACACTCAACCAACAACAAGAAGACAAAAAAACACATAATCCAGCTACGTCTATATGATTTATGCGAAAACAAACTTCTTTTTTTTTATTTCTCTGAAGTTAAAAAGAATCAACTACTTTTCTGGGTCAGATCACATTGGTCTTGTCGTGAAAGGGATATTTCAGCTTGTAGAGGAACTTCAAAACAACATCCAGAATTTGATGAAGGCTATAATAATACTACTACCAATAAAAGAGTTTATGGGTTAAGGGGGTAACTGAAAATACTTGATGTTTGTTGAAAGATTAAAAAAAAAAATTCAAAGTACAGAAAGCCACAGGCCTGTAAATTTTATTTGTAAAAAAAGCAGTTCTATTTTTATACAACATTTTTACTGCCTCAGATGAAGAAAAAAAGGATTTTATTTATTGCCTATCGTTAAGTTATTGGACTCCTATAAAGTATTACAGCATCATTAAAGTAGACCCTTGTGGAGAAGTCTCGTGGAATTGGGTTCTCCAGTTATTTTTTGGGGGGTGTTTTTTTTTTTCAGTGCAGAAACCACAATCACGACACATTCCGTCCCCATTTGAATCTGCATTCCCCCGTTCATCCAACCCACCCGTGTTATTTATTCAAACCCACACTTCTCCGTGCTGTTTATCCATCCATCATCCATCTCTTCTTACCAAGTTCTCCCTCTTTCCCTCTCACCATCAGTAGTTGAACTACTTCTTGACTTGTCGAGTTTTCTACCTTTTTGTTGTGGCATTTTTTTTTTTCTAAGACTTGTTTGAATTTTTCCGAGTGTTTATGTTTTTTGTTTGTGCGTAGCCCCCCCCCCCCCTTTTCCCTCACCCTTCCAAAGATTTATACATTTTTAAACAGAAGAAAATTATAAGGCTCCTCTATTTCCTCCCCCCCAAAAATATTGTCTCCCAAATGATCATCCATCTGGGATCTGATGGATAAAGCTTTGGGTGCTCTCTGTTTGTTGTGTACGTGTGAATGAGTTAATGATTTTTGCTGCTTGTTATTATAGATCTACAACATTAATATCATTTCATAGTATAAAATGAAATACAAAATCGAAGTTTAAAAAAAAAAAGCCTGCTTAATGAAATCAGTCTGTGGTGTTGCTGTTTTTCCAGTTTGCATTGTTGTTTGTCAGTTGTTGTTGTTGTTTGTTGTTGTTGTTGTTTCTCCTGATTTTTTAAAACAGAAAAATGCTGTTGTGGTGTGGTGCTCTGGCTCTCTGTGTGTAACTCTCTCCTCTCCCGTTTTTTCTTTTCCCCTTTTAGAACAACCCATCTCCATGCCTGTTAGCTCATCGTTTGCCTAGCATGTCTCCGTGGCGTCCGAAAAAAATCAAATAAAGTACAGAAAGTTAAAACGTACAAAAAAAAAACTTCCACCCCCAAAAAAAAAAGTGTCATCGTCCTCTTCCCCCGTCATTTTTTTTTTTCTGATGTCTTTTCCGAGCTCACCTGATCATAATCTGGTTCTCCTCCTCCTCTGCCGCCTACTGACCTTTTGAACTTTTAGCTTTTTTGGACTTTCATGATTTTTTTTCCATTTTGTGTTTTTTTGTGGGTTTTCTTTTTTTATTATTTGTTTGTTTTGCTATTTGTTTGCATGTGACCTCATTTGGATCTGTTATCTGGGAGGGTTTAAAGGAGGGAGGAGACCTGGGAGGTGGGGGTAAGCCGATGAATCAATGTGAAAAAGATATAAGCTGCATTCATATGAAAAACAAAACAAAAAAAGACTGAGATTTTTATGGAAAAACAACAACCTGTGGCAAAGTGATTTCCATACAGTGTGTTTCTTGCTTCTTCTTTTTTTTCCTGCTTCTTCTTCTCTTATGTCAGATCTTTTTCTTTCTTTTTTTTCCTGCTTCATTTCAAGTAAACTTGAAAGTTCACTACAGGAATTGGCGTGTCACCTTGCTTCTGGTCGTCAATGAAAAAGCAGGGCCAGAAGCAGTCCGCGCCAGTTTCTCTGAGAAATAAGACTACTTCCAAACAGTTTTGAATAAAAACTGTCTGATCAATATTAGACTCTCTCAGAGCTCTCTAATGGTTTTTACATTTTTCAGGCAGTGTAAAGTTTTTTGATAAGGCCATTTTAAGTGGCTCTGTTTCTCATTCAAAGTCTATATATAGAACCACTTTTTCTAGAGTAGTTTAAAGGTAAAAACAAAAAAAGACATTTGCCCTGTTTGGGGGGGAGAAATGCTACCTACTTGTGTCACCTTTTGCTGAACTGACTCACAGATAGACAATCCGTGGTTTAAATGCACATGATGAAATGACCTATATTTTCTACTGTTTAAATGTATAGAGGAAAAAAACAAAACTAAAATACCTGTAACCCGCGTTAACGTCGGTGCTTCTCGTGAGTTTAGTTGTGGTTTCATCACAAGTCTAATGGTCTTAAATGTCTCATGTTTTCAAGAGAAGACTAAAAAATCAGTTTACTTGAACAATAGACAAAGCCTTTCATAATACTATAATAGCTACTTTTTTCATTTTCTTTTTTTTTAAGGAGTCCCTATTTGCTAAATTTCTTGTTGGTTAATTAGCTATATAAAATTCCTAAAAATATATATAAATATAAATATATCTATATATATAATGTCAGCTTGTGAAGCATCAATGTCATTATTATTTTATTTCTCTCGTGGGAAACAATATTTAGGTGTGTTTTGTTGTTCGGCAAAATGTCTTATAAAGAAAAAAAGACAAGATCAGTGGAGTTTAGTGCCAAATTCTGAAGGTACTTCCTGCCTAGCGCGTCAGTGTATTTCTTGTGAAATTATTTGATAACATGGGTATTTTATTATAAGTGTTTTGTATGGATCCCTCATATTTAAAAATATAGATTTAAAAAAGAGTTTGTTAACTTGCTATTCTGTGGTCTTGTTGCCTGAAAATGTCATGTTTGCTTTTTTTCTTTGTAAAGATGTAAAAAAAAAAAAAAGGAAAAAAAAGTGCCCATGTGTCATATATATATAAATATATATATCTATACACAGCCACACACGCGCACACATGGACACACGAACACTCTCGTGCAGACCTCACAGTTTACTTTGTTATTGTGCATGAGAGCCCCTGAGCGTGAAAGCCTCTTCAGCAACCGCTACTGCCCGCCAGCGTGCACGCACTCGCACACGCGCACACACACACACGAGAATCCAAACACTTGATATTTTTAGCCATTGTACAGCCGTTTCATCCATCAAAGCCTTACCACTAAATCTTTGCACTCCTGTTTCTTACAATATTAGTATCTCGCGCGCGCAGACGCAAAACGCCAAGCTTCCGCAAACGCATCGTTTCCGGGGTCACGCTCCACAGCTGAATTCAATTGAGGTGAGAGTCATTAAGAGTCATACGCGAAGCCTTATTTCTCCCCCCCGACCCCACCCCGCCCAAAAAAATCCTACTCTTCTCCTCTTTTTTCGTCGAGTTAGAAGCATTTCAGAGCCGTTTGTTTTCTGATGGTGAGGATCATTACTGTTCGCCATCACCTCCGACGAGCGCGTGCTTTCATGATGTAAGCACGAGGCAAGACTCGGCTCGTTCAGCCTCAATCTTTTTGAGGAAAAAAAAAAAGCACACGCCGCCATTGCCGGATATTTAAAAAAAAAAAAAAAAAAGGGCAAGTGGCTGGACGGTCAGGATTTTTACACCCTGAATTTTTTCTTTTTTTTAAAAAACTAAGTGGTTGTAAGACTTGTCCACGTGTGAGTCACATGGTATAATGGGCCAAAATCATGTTCAGATGCCAAAGTGTGTAACTGACATTCTCATAGTCGAGCCGTTTACAATGGCACAGTGTTGTCAGTCTATTCAACTGCCCCCACTCCCCCCTCTCCCTGAAAGCCTAGTTTACGGTCTGCAAAAAAAAAACAACAAAAAAAACACAAAAAAAAACATTTAAAAAAAGATATTTACAAAAAAAAAACTCAACAAAAAAAGAGGCAGCGTTATTTTCTACTGAAGCTCACCAGTCGCCTTAACCAAGGGAGCGTCGTAACCAGTATTATAAGAGTAGAAGATGTTAGTCACGTGACGTGTGCCAAGTCTCGGGTTCACTTTTGTGTGCGGCTAAACTCCCACTCGTCTGGGATCCACTCTTCTGCCATTTTGTCCACTCGGCCAGAGAAGGAAAAAAAAAGCAGAGCAATTAAAGGTTTTTTTTTGTTTT